TGGTAGTGGTGTAAAAAGAGAATAGTGTTAATGAACAAAATAAGTCCCATAGCCTTCTTTCTTAAGAATTTAATGATGGCATTATGCTAAGCATAATAAGCCAGTCAGAGAACAATAAATATCACATGATCTCACTCATTTGTGGAATATAATGAATAACATAAACTGATGAACAAAAATAGAGCCAGAGGAAAAAAATATTTTAGAATAGAAGTAATCCTGTTATTTGCAGGTTTTAAAATTTTTCTACAACTTTTGTGATATCATACTATGTTAGTACAGTTTTGGTAATGTTATTATACTTAAAATCCTTTTATTCTTGAAATATTAATGTTTATTGTATGTAATATTATATGTAAGATTTTTCTTGAATGATTGGTGTTTATTGCATGTAACATTATCAAATTTAAAATAATTTTTCTTGAAATATTATGGTTTATTGCATGTAACATTATTATATTTAAAATAGTTTTTCTTAAAATAAAAAGAAAAACTGAAAAAAAAAAACCACCTGAAATTGAGCCTGCTTATAGCAGCCATGGCTTCACCGCTTTTTGCAGAACTTGGTCCATCCTGCATTCCATGGGAATCCCTTACAATCCACAAGGTCAGGCCATCGTTGAACGTGCCCATGCTACCCTGAAGGGTATGCTAGTAAAACAAAAAAAGGGGAAATATGGGACTCAAGGACCTGGCTATACTATTATCTATAGCATTCTTTACCCTTAATTTTTTGAATATGAATGGTCATTTTCAACCCTCAATAACCCCACCTTAGACACCACGGGTCTTGTGGCGAGATGTGGACACTAATAACTGGATGGGACCCAATAAATTATTAGCATGGGAGAGGGTATGTGTGTATTTCTACCCCCACAGGGCCACTGTGTGTTCTAGCTCACTGGATTAAACCCTATCATGGCTTGGCATGGGACGGATCCTCTTCCCGAAATGAAGAATTTAGGCTTGGGGACTCAGCAGCACTGAACGTTGCACCTTCCCTGGACCCAAACGGCCCCGGAATAACTTGGGGAATGATGAAGAAGCTGATGGCAGAGGCTGAGCAATTATTGGAGCGTATTCACACCCAACGTATCCCAGATAACTAACCATTGCTCTTTTTTCTTGTCTTATAGTCTGTAAAATCTGAACTGGAGCAGTAAACACGCTTCACGGACCTAACATTCTAAAGCAGAAAGTTCGCCACCTGCCTCTGTCTTCTACATTCAGCAAAACAAAAAAGGGGGAGATATTGGGGAGCACAAGAGAATTGATTGGAAAGTTGTAAGGACATTCTGATAAAAGGGAAGTGTGTGCAAGGCCGCCTGCCCTGTTTATCAGAATTCCAACTTAGGGGAGACTTAGGGGAGTGTCGAAGGCGGTGCCCCTAATTATTCCTTGACCTTTCCAAACAAGCTTGTGCATGTATAGACCCTTGGGTGTTTACTGGAATTCTTATGCTTAATCCCTGGATGACCTTACCTAGAGGACAATGTATGTGCCCTCCCAAGATTATTCACCCTACTGATTGTATCTAAAGATAAAAATTCAGGCCCTAACTGGTTTGGCTCAGTGGATAGAGCATCGGCAGACCTAAGGCGTGCTTAAGTCGTCAGTTGGACATCCCTCAAGGGGTCCCGGACTGGTAGAGGCCCCAGAATTGGCTGAGCGACCCCCCACGGTGCCTAGAGTTTGTGCACTGAGCTTCTAGTAATATTATAACTGTGTATGGTGTCAGATGGGTATGAAGTTAATGGCATGATTTCTTACTCAGGTAGGGGAAGTTTTCTGTCATTATTTCT